TAAACTAAACTCATAAACCAATTAAACTAAACTCATAAACCAATTAAACTAAACTCATAAACCAATTAAACTAAACCTATAAACCAATTCAATTAAACTCAACCAATTAAACTAAACTCATAAACCAATTAATCTAATCTCATAAACCAATTAAACTAAACTCCTAAGCTAATTAAACTAAACTCAAACAATTAAACTAAACTCATGAATCAATCAAACTAAACTTTATTAAGACGTTTCTCAGTGTTTTAACTGAAGTTTGGTTGTTGACATCCAAACATCCTGCTGCTGTTTTTATTGTTTTCTCTGTGAAACAACCGTCCCCTCCAGATGTTTGTGTTGGACACATTTAGAACCAGATCCACAGGTTCAGGGTCAGTCCTGGACCAGGGGGTCCAGTCAAACCTACCTCCCACAGGTGTCTGGTGTTCCTCACAGCTCCGGACTGCAGCTTGTCCACCAGCAGAGGGACGCCCTGAAACGGGCCGATCCAGGTTCCCTGAGGGATCCTCTGGGCCGCACAGATCCCATAACCCAGACCAGGAACCGTACTGGTGCAGAGACAGACCTGGACCAGAAAACCAAGACCTTCAGAGTCCAGCTTTCACCTCCCTAAGTCTGGAGTTCTTCTACACGACATACAAGAGGTTTCTATTTATTGTTAGAAGTTAACATTTATTATCTTTATTATCTTTATTTATTATTAAAATATAACAAGTTTCTGTTTAATGTTAGAAGTTAACATTTATTATCTTTATTATCTTTATTTACTGTTAAAATATAACAAGTTTCTGTTTAATGTTAGAAGTTAACATTTATTATCTTTATTATCTTTATTTACTGTTAAAATATAACAAGTTTCTGTTTAATGTTAGAAGTTAACATTTATTATCTTTATTATCTTTATTTATTATCACTCAGTAATCAGAGGTAACTGTTTACTCTTAAACTTAACTGAGTTTATTTTTCTATCCTAGTTTCATTTGTTGTTCTTTAAGCTTCAATATGTCAACACATCCTGATTACTGTACACCTGACATGACAGACGAGAAGGGATTATCTGCAGAATCAAAGTGGGCGTGTCACAAGAGTGGGCGTGTCTAAAGCATAAACACTGTGGACTACGAGGCCTACATGACGGTATCCTTAGACCCTGCTTGACCTCTTTACAGCCTGACCCTGACCCCAACACTAAGGTTAACCAGGACAAATGTGACCCAAGTAGGGTTCTCCAGAAAAACTGGTGCCGTACAGTAACGCCCCTTTTTTCTTGTCCAATCAGGTGGTGCCGTACAGTAACGCCCCTTTTGTTCTTGTCCAATCAGGTGGTGCTGTGCAGTGACACCCATTTTGTTCTTGTCCAATCAGGTGTGTCCCTTTAACAAAGTTCGTCAAATCAGGTGTGTCGCTTTAGAATCGCCTTTCCTTGTGACACGCCCACTCGTCTGCAGAGACCCCTACTTGTGACAGACAGACAGACAGAGTGGGAGGAGTCACCTCTCTGGGCAGGTCTCTCAGCCAATCAGGAACGTCCGGCAGCGGGACAGGTGCGGCCGTGCTGCTGGTTCCCACTAGGCGACGCAGAGAGTGGAGAGGACCGTGCATGGGACACTCCCCGTTCCTGTTGTCCGCACACATGTCACAACCTGCACAGGAGACAGGTTATTGGTCCAATCAAACCAGGATAAATGTTGCAGTCCGCTCTTACGTTAATACAGGAAGACGCTAATGATGTTAGCATGCTGGGCTAACATTAGCTAAACTTTAAATGAAGCCGAACTTTTAAAGATTATTTTATTCATTCAGTCATTTTTTAAAAACGCTAAAGTAAAAACCAGAACGTAAGGAACAAAACAATGTGTTAAATTATTTACATTAGACTGGAGGTTAAAACGTTTTATTTATCATTGATATTAAAGGTTTGGACCGTACCAACTCATCGGTAGCTGTAGGGGTCAGGATTGTTACAGAAACTGAGCAACAAATGTAAGTATAAAAAATGTTTTACAGTATTTTATTACATCTAATATAATATATTAATGTTCAACAACCACAGATTGGTAGTTATTACTTTATTTCTGAGGCTTAAGTTTTGAGAATGAATCAACAGCCCCAGTTTTTATAGAAATGGTTTGTTCCTTCACCTCTACAAACGTTAGTTGTTTTAATACATGTAACAATTTTAATGAGTTGTGTTAGTTTTGTGTTATCATTTTAGATTGTTTTAGTGTATTTTGAAAGTAAATATAAAAGTACATGATAGATAGATAGATAGATAGATAGATAGATAGATAGATAGATGATAGATAGATAGATAGATAGATAGATAGATAGATAGATAGATAGATAGA